AAGAGCATAATTAGTGATAAAATGTATAAAAATAAACCACCAACTATCCCTTTTTAATGACATCTTTATTCAACCAACATTAACTAACACATAATATAACAATTCATACAATATCAAATGACATATTTTCGAGAAGGTTGACAACGTTGTGGGTTCAAGTTAGACTTCAACTGATGGAGGTCATTTGCAAGATGATATAGCAATAATGGTCACAAAAGCATCGATCTACGTTTCTTTTTGTTCTAGAAAAGTAGCTATTAAAATAAATTACTAAATGTTCTAAGGGATATCCAAGACTGCGCTGATAAAAAAATTGCAGACAATATTGTCCACACTCCATGGAATCGGTGCATTGTTATTGTACATTATTGAAGCGTCTCATCTCGGCATTTCTTCTCATAAAATCAATGATGTCTTATTCCAAAGGCAGTAATCCACACGAATCAAAAGACTCCATACAGGCATATAGGGAAAATAGCCAGCTACCTAACGGGTTCCAGGGAGATGACCGTGTTGATGACATAAGCTTGATTATCTTTAGGTTTGCGATGAAGAAGTTCATCTTTATCACAGATGACAGGATTCCAAAACGTGGTGTACGAAATGTTTTTCAAAAGGTAATAGTTTCCAGTTATTCATTTGTTTCGCAGGTAGTGGTAAGTTGTTCATCTCTGACATTTTTCTTGAAAATCCCTGTCAAGTAATCATCCCTTTGCTTCGTCTCCGTATTCATGACCAAGACAGATTCGACGCAATTGATCTCCAGAACAATCAGTAATCACGCAAGTCTTTATACCAATAATGCAACACTGCTTCTTACGATACTCGTCCAATTTTCTTCTTGAATCATCAAACATTTATCATGTTGAATTTGACTGGGATGATGGTTTTGATATCCATATCAATCTTCATTGGTCAACCATTGTCTTTTTGGTTTTGCTTCCACGAAAACCTACCATTCCATTTCCAAAGATTCGCTACCATTCAAAGACGGATAAGAGTCCCATATTGCTTCTAATAGTCTAGAATGACTTCTCTTAAACTGTTGCTTTCTAGAGTGTTGTCGAATCCGGCAGCAAGGTGACGTTCACCGTCTCGGTGGAAACTTCTGCAAACTCAACTTTCACACGCAGTTGACCGGATTTGATAGGGTCTCTCGTCGCTGCATTGGTCTGTAGTGAAACCAAATGTCCACAAAGCGATACCACGCAATCATCCAGATGAGTGTTCTTGGCATCTTAACTTTAGGTCAAGAGGGATTTTCCAGGAATGATCTTAAAGGGTAAGTATCCATGCTACTGCTAAATAGATTTTTATTCAAGTACAAATACACTTGAACAAGAAATACATGAACTTATTTGTGGGAGCTACTCTGTAATTGTCATCTGGATCAGTGTGATCACTTTGACTTTTAGGTACAAGTAACTTGCATTCAGATCGATGTAATTTTCGGGCTGTCCTTTGATTTTGAATTCGATGGACGCTGAGGTTGTCAAAGACGAGATGGGATTCTTGCAGCGTCATCATAGTGGGTGGTATGGTAAACACATCCAGTTCCGACTTGGAACATTCTCAAGACACTATGTGCATCATTTTGTCTATCTGTGATTTAATAATCAAAAACGGCTAATTCTTAGACCACTCTTCTGTTCTTGGTCTATCTAGCCCTGAGTATGTAAAGACTTCTCCAGTGGTATCTTCATTGTCTCTTTCTGTCTTTTACTTGCGGTGGTGTCAGGGAAACATGAATGTCTGGCCGGGGATTGTCCAGGGAATGTATAGCAGTTTCTCTTCAGCCCAAAATGTCTGCCAGATTGAAGCAAGACAGTTTTGCCAGCTCTCAAGAAGACTTCTTTGGGGTTTTGTTTGTCGTTGATGACATCTTGGAGAAATTCTTTGCCTTGTGCCAAAGTGACATCTATCAAGGCGTGTAGTCCTCGTATCACCATCGGTTTTAAAACAGAGACCACCGAAAGAAATGCCGTTTTCAGCATATGTCCAAAACCATGTCTTCGTTGTATATGACTTAAAGGTCGTCATTTGGTGAATGGAATATTGTGTCTCAGAGCTCCTTTTATAGCAATGTTGACAGTGTTAAAATAAGACCTATTGACGGACAAATAGTGATGATGCAAAAATTCGCAGTGAACGTGATAATATTTTCTACTTTCCTCGTGATTGTTTGAGGCAGAATACACCTTGAAAGAAATGAGACCTAGTAACGGTATGGATAATTGTCTCACCACTCTGTACTCCACTACATCGGAGTACACAAAAATCAAATTTTATCCTTGCTTCAGTTCCACCAGATAACGAAAAAGTTTAGCAAAGGTTGTTGGCGACGGGAGGTACATTGTTACCCTTGATCGGTTTGAGATCTTTCATGACAAAATGTTATACCCAACGTTTTGACATCAGAAAATTCATCAGTAGGCGAGGAAGCACTTTATTGTACTTGAGGGTTAGACTTCGTTCGGTTTTGTCATAGGCTCTGCCAAATAGATCATTGAATTTGGCAGCAATTGTGTCCACCAGTTTTTGACCGCTAAATAATAGCCTGAAGAAATGTTCAACATATAAATGGAGTATCCGGGTACACTTGTCGTTTTATAGAAGCATTAACAATTTCTTTTTTATCCAAGAATTGTTGCACTTGGTCGTTCAGAACTTCGACCTCAAAAGTGTTTTTACTTTTAATGACATTTTTCATGTGTGTAGGTGATGAATCATTCCGACCAAAGCCACTTCCCAAATCGCTTTGTGATCCAATTAGATGGCCCGAAGTAATCTGGCCGGACATCAGCACAAAGTATTGTGGGGAAACACATCCATGGAACTGTCACTGGGTAAAGCTAACAAATACCAGTTGTTCAAAATTCTAGTGTTCTGCTATCACTGAAGATCAGACGAGTGTCTAAAAATAGGACTGCTTTTTGTGTTGTTGTTATTGTCACTTTTGGGAGGGTGACTGACGTTGGGCACAATACTACCGTTATTAGCGTTAGAGTATTCTAGAGAAAGGTTGGGAAGGCTCAGTAATATGGTCCACAAATGTTTGTCTCCTTGTTAAAAATTCAGATTGGCAATGGCAACATCGATAACACAATACACCACGACAATTTGGAAGAAAAGACGATTTGCGTTTTAAGCACACGTTCTCTACACCCACAAGGGTTGCTTTTGTAGATCTTACACAGGAGAACTCCGTGAAGGAGTGATCACTGTGGTGATTGAGGTTGTGTTGAAGGGCATGATGGTCACTTCTTTTTATAGTTCCCCACGTTAAATTCCCATTGTCGCTATATTCTATATACTTTTTGTTAACACTAACGTCCCTTGTCGTTATTTCGCCCCCCTATATTACTCATGCTTTTTAACATTCGCTCTCAACTTGTAACGTGGTGCAAGACTTCTAAGATGTTGTATCTTTGATCAATGTGATCCTCTGCCTCTGATCTGTGTCACTTAAGTCTTAAAATGTATTATAGATCGAATCGTACGGCCATTCGCCTTATTTGGCTTTGGCGTCCACTATTGATAAATCGGTTAAATGATTGATGTTCTGCAATTCTAACAGGACATTAGCAGCAGCTATTATCTTGATTTGAATTAGTTAAGATTACAAATAACTATATTTTTTCAGTCTGATTATCTCTTTTTAAAGTTCCACGCTCATTGTTTATACTAAATTCAATTAGCTGTGAGTACTGTGTCTCAACAGCTTTTAACCGCTCGGGTTGCCTAGTGGCTAGAGCATATGCCTCGCATGCGGGAGGTAGCGAATTCAAACTCCGGCTGAATCATAGAAAAATGGTACTAACTGCTGCCTCGCTTGACGCTCAGCATTAAGAGGATAGTGACTGGAAGATCGGCATGGTGTCAGGATAATGTAACTGGATGGGACATCATGCTTCATGTCTGCGGCATTATGCATCTGTGTATTATAAACTGTCACACTGCAGACATCGTATCGTTATTAGTTATAAATTATTAAGGCTACGTAAGAATTATAAATAACACACACACACACACACACAATCCACTGCTTACCATTTATATTGATTATATAGCCATATATAGAGTATCCTTTTCTGAAGAATTTGTAAGCATTTATATCATTTTCATATTGTCATCAATCTCCACTCGGTATCCCTTATATTGAAGCTTTGTGAATGGAACTTTCTCTTAATAAAACTGAATTATTGTATACACTTTCTCTCCATACTGTACTGATATCCAATTATTTCTTCAGAACCTTTGCGTATTTTTATGACAACTATTTTTAAGCATAATTTATTTCAGCTGCTCTTACAAATAACACATTATCAGTAATCTTCATCACGTTATTTGTTGTAAATGAAATGCAATGGCGGCAAATCAATAAATTCAGGAGAAACGCATAATACATTTGTCTCCCCTTGATAAATTGACTCGCTATATATGTATCCATAAAGCACTAACTTTTTGCAGAAAGTCATATACACTGTATGAAAGTAGTAATTTGTTTAATTGCCAATCCGATGGCCTAGTGGTTAGAGCGTCCACCTTGTATGCGGTCGCAAGTTTAAACCTCAGTCGAGTCATACCAACTATCTTTTTTAAGCTGCTGCCTCAGTAATAAGAGGTTAGTGTTTGGACTGGTCGGCCTTTTGTCAGGATATGATGCTGCATATCTACGGCATCGTGCCCAGTGCTAAATATCTTTTTAAACTGTCACACTGCAGACATCGTCGCGATATGACTGAAATCTGAAAAACAAATTGTTAAAGAAAGCTACGTTAAAATTCCAAGACACACACACACACACACACACACACACACACACACACACACACACACTTATCTAATTCGTGATAAAATTAAACCTAACTGGTCAGGTAACTTTTAAACTTTTTCTGTATTGTACATACCGATGGTCTATTCAAAGGATTTTGTAATGAGTGATTATGTTCACTGCAGTTTTTTTTTTCTTGTATATTTAAACCATTATTTTGGGATCAAACTTCAAATTATAAGTCTAATGGTTAGAGCGTCCGCTTTGGATGCGGGAGGTCGTGGGTTCGATACCCGGTCGAGTCATACCAAAGACTTACAAAAATGGTACTAACAGCTGCCTCGCTTGGCACTCAGCATTAAGAGGTTAGTGTTAGGATTGGACGGCCTGGTGTCAGGATAATGTGACTGGGTGGAACATCATGCTACGTGTATGCGGCGTGATGCCCCAGTGCTAAACATCACTATAAACTGCCACACTGCAGACATCGTAGCGATATGACTGAAAAATTGTTAAAGCTGCGTTCAGAAACCGCCACGTCAGATTTAAAAAAGCACAGTTGCATCATATTGAATATAGTCAAGCCCTGACGGGGCTTGAATAAATGTTCTCTTTTGATTGTTGGACAGTAACACAGTATCATTATAAGCCTAGTCTAAAGAGAATCCCCTGAACCACAGGAAATTTGTATTGTTTAAAATCCTGGGCTGTATATGGCGGGCTAAACGTACATGAATTGCAGTGTTTTCTTTAACAATGACGTTATATGATGCGCTAAACGTACAGGAATTACGCACAATTTTGTTTAATGACTGTGTATGATGGTTTAAATGTATATAAATTCCACACATTTTTAAGAATGTAATATATGATGGGCTAAACGGACAGGGATTCCCCTACTACTTTTAAAGATGGTGGAATAGTATGGGCTTAAAATGAACAAGAATTCCACACTTTTCTTTAAAGATGGCAGTCAAATAGGTATCAACGGCCTGATATACACCTGTATTGTAAATCTAAAATTGTACATTTTGATGTACCATAGCCTAGAAATAGCCTTATCTGGTTTGATTGTTTTATGATACTTTCATTGACGGCGTTCAGACTACAGTCCATTTAATGATTATAATTGTTACTTTGATGTTCGAGAGATTTCTTAAACTAGTAAATATCACATACTTGAATACATGCCTCTCAATACTATGTTGTTCATGTGGCCTACATTTGGAATTCAACAAATTAAAGTTTTCTAGTAAATCTTGAATATATGGCAATTTACTTTCCTTAAATAAACACCTAATTCATTCAGAAAGATAATTTTCAAATTGATCGATGCATTAAGCTTACGACGAAATAAGAACGTTGTGACTTTTTCGGCTTGAACTTTTCGGACTTTGTACGAGAAAATTATTTAACTGTAATTTTTTTTTTATCAATACCAATAATGGGGAAGAAATTCTCAAAATTCTATAAAGGAGTATTCTATGATTTGAGTTTTTGCATCAAAGATAAACTAAAGTCAAAAAGTAATCACGCTTTTCCGTTTTGGTTGTGGGATACACGACGGATAGATTTGATGCTGTGTTACATTGAAAATTCATAAAGAAACGCTGACTGATAGATAGAAAAATACGGATCTTTATATGTAAAAAAAACGAACTAAAATTCTACACCTCATCTACTGAGAAAGTTAGCTATACTATCTGTTGCAAACGCATAATTTTAGTCTTGTATTCACTGGTTCACGCCACCCGAAGCGTGAAATAAATCATATTTTTCAATAATGTCATGTAATTTTGACATTTAATACAATATAATTGCAGAGATTGAAAGAATTATCAATAATGAGTGTTATTAATGGAGAAAGGCAGGGTTTAGACGACAAGATCGTGTAACCTTAACATACTATTAGGTTCAATAATTGTCCGAACTACGTCAGTTTGTTTGTAAACCAGTTTTACTTTGCATTCGGATTTTGATTCACGATACGTTTAATGAAGTGTGGTGATGCTTACAAGTAAAACAATCAGTTTCTTACATGGAATCCATTTAGGTGCAACGATCAATGTCAGAAAGGCTGGTAAGTAGATTAATGTTCACTGTTAAACAGATGGAAAATACGGAAATTACCAGCATGTTTGACCATTTCTTTTGTCCTTCCTTCAGGCTGCCCCACTCATTTTTTTTTTGCATATGGGCTGTGTATTATTCCTACTAGATTTCAATTACATTTGATACTTAGTTTGGTGTTGTTGCGATAGTGCACGTTATCAGTTACCGGTAACATAAATAAACGTTATTATTGTTGTTGTTGTTGTTGTTGTTGTTGTTGTTGTTGTTGTAGGGTTTAACGCCATTTTGCAGCACAAGATAGATTATACATGGCGGCCAGTATTAATGGTGGAGGAAGAACCCTGGTAAAGCCTGGAAAGAACCACCGACCCACGAGAAGCTACTGGCAGGCTTTTTCACTTACCCACGTTAGACGAGTCTGGACTCAAACTCACACAGTGGTGAGATGGCAGTAATCCGTAACGGTCAGCGCTTTAGACCACTAGGCCAGTCATTATTTTGGCCTCTAGTGACCACTTTGGTGACACTGTCATTTATACGTCAGATTTCGGCATATTTATCGTGATCGTCTGTGACCTCATTGTTTGATGAGTATCTTTCGCAGAGATGAGGGTTTGAGGACGCAGAAAGATCACGAATTTAAGTAGTCTATAAAATTTAATGGAAGATTACTGATAGTACATTATCAATAATTTAAATTTCAACTAACATTAGAACTTCGAAATTCGTCCTCAAGCAAACTTCAATAATTTTCTTCGCCAACCCTCCTTTCAAAAATAAAAGCTGTTTATAAACATAACGAAAGCATTTAATTGGTCAGTCACTGTTTATAAACATAACGAAATTATTTAAATGATTCAATCACTAAAAAAAACTTTCTCGAATACTATCTGCTGTAGATGTTCAAATGCTTGTAGACGACTATGAAAACTGAGACAACAAAGCCTTCTCTGTCTATGTCTGTCTGTCTATCTGTCTCTGTCTCACTCTTAACTTACTTCCCCAATGAATGCTATATTACTCGTCCGTATGACCATTATAGAGCCAGACAGACATGAAAACAAGTAGTGAATAAATGGAAGGTTACGATTTGTTAGGGCCCATACCATGTACAGAACCATATGACTTGACTGTAACTTCTAAAGCGAGTGCATGAGGTACAGTTACAAGCCAGGGATATTTTGCTTGACCGAGCGGTGTCAACACCCTGGGCTCGAATCCCGCTAGAAGTCATAGGTTTACCCCATATTTCCAAAGACTTCTATACAACGTCAGTTGTAATTTGGAAAGCCCGACGTGTCCATTCTATACATACATTTTACAATAATCAATAAAAGGCCACAACTTGCAAATTAGCCATCAACCGCACATCCCCACAGTTTCTCTATATGAACTTTCCGTTCCGCTTGTAATTCACACCGTAGAAACTATACAACTATCCCTAACACGGGTGACTATTTTAACTGCCCACCTGAGGCCAGTCGATCTACCGTTTCAAGGCACATCATACCAGTAAACCTACATCACATTTGCCACTATGGCAACATAAACGGTATCTAACGAGTCCTTTCACATTTATCCCATTGTGTAATTTACCGGTTTCCTACCATAAATACTGCCCATGCAGTCACAAAAGCGATGTACACCACTAGTTTTTATAAAGTGCTATATCACGACAGGGACAGCCATGCGGATTGGGTCTGAGTTCGCTACTCATTGGCCATGGCATCTCAGAAACTCACTAACACTTTCTCTCCGTGACGATTACTCCTAATAATTGACTAATTATTTCGTGCTAAGGTATATTTCCATTGCACCGAATTCCAATAATCAAACATTAATCACACAAACCTACAAATTGCTTAAACTAAATGTGCATCTCCTTAATTTTATTACAGTGCAATTACCCAGTGCATGCAAACACGAGACCGCTTGAGGTCCGGCAGGGTATAGGGTTTTTGAGAAAATATGATACACGCGTGATTTTGAAACTAAATGCATCTAAACAGCACCGTTGCCTGTGTAATATCACGATGTAACTATGGGTCACAAAATAAGTTATCCTCGCAAGATGCGAGCTAGGGTCTGTTTTGTAAAGCGCGCATTCTCAGCCACGACAAATGTATATGCATTCTCCACGGATCTGAGCACGGTAGCGTCGTACTTTTTACATTTTTGCGCCCATTCTTTCGCTAACTCGACCGTGGTTATGTCCTAATATTCGATAAGTCACCAGATACATTTAAACACCTGCACAAATATTACTTTTGGTGGCCACGAGAATTTCCAAAAATAAACACGCACTCGTCGATGAAATTGTAATGAAATTATCTTATTAGCGCTGGCTGCTTCAATGGTTACAATGGATATAGCCTTGACAGCAAAATGGATTAGGGTGCCTATGATACGTGCCGCAGATAAAATCCACCTTTCTAAATAACAGTAGAGAATTGTATTCCTTTCAATGATTTATCTTTGGTGGCCAGATATTCCACTTCATCGTTGTGAAACAAATCACTGGATGTTTTCGGGTTGGACTGCCAAGTCATCTACTGTCTCTTTTCTAATGTTAATGCGAATATTTCATGCTATCGTCGATTTTGCAGTGCCATATCAGGGCGGTACCAACTCTTTGTTTCTATTTTTACACAAAAGCTGTCGTGCTACTGAGCGAATCAAATAACGTCTGCATCATCCTGGCTTGGCAAGTTGACTGTTTTCTCCTCTTACCAAGGACCTAACTGCAAAAGTCGTCGTCAACTGAAAGTTTCTTAAAGGCGTGCATACTTCAGATACATTTCCTCAAATCACCTTATGACCACACATTGCAAAGCTCTAAATTCACACTTACTTCGTTTTGCTCTTGTTTCACATTTGTTTGACTTTTGAATAAGCTCCTTTTTCTAACGGAATATGTGTAACTAACTTCATCGAATTAAAACACACAACCCAAACAATCAAGATAAATAAGTATTCATATCTCACATTTCTTCACACGTTTATTTAAAGATGTCCAGACGATTCCCTATGATAAGGTAATAGAGAGGGTCCATTTTACGAAATTAAATCCCTGCTGATATAAAGTATAGTAAATGCTGTACATTATGGTGTCTTTCACAGGGTCCATTAAATCCATGCTGCCATAAAGTCTAGTAAATGCTGTACATCATGGTGTCTTTCACAGGGTCCATTAAATCCATGCTGCCATAAAGTCTAGTAAATGCTGTACATT